CGGACTCAGGGAAAGCCTTGGAAAGCCGAGCGGAGAAAGGTGACGGCCTTTAATGGCCGCGAAGAAATGACAGCAGACAGCTGACCGACTGTAGCGGTGATCTAGCGGGATAGAGACGTGACAGATTCAGTCAAAGTAATCCTGGCGTCTTAGTAGGAGTGATCCAGTGAAAAAACCTGCTGGAGGTTTCCTGGAAAGGTGTCCGTACCTTATTGAGGTAATAATAGTATTAAAAGGTACAAGGGAAACATGCTCCATGGCTTGGAATATGCCAATCGTTTGACCTCTTGTCCAGAGACTGCCCCCCAATTAAGTATTCTTTTCTCAAACACAATGCAAAATTGACTCTGCAGGTTTTGTCTCTGGAGACTGGGAGGCAACGGTGTCCTCACTGGCCGGTCCTGAAATCCGATGGTCTTTGCGGCAGAGAAAACAAAGCACGGAAACGAAAGATACTAGTCCTCCAATGGATTAGAGAGATGAGTTCAAGCACAATGTTTTTCAAGCCAGGCCAGTGCATCGATTCGGATGAATTCCTGAGAAGGGCAGATCACAGTCCATATAAAAATGGGGAAAAATCCACTCCTCCTTTTGTGGCAAAGCCACTAAGGTTATGACTAAAGTAGGTCAGTTTTAAATACATAGGCCAGTGATGGCGAACCTTTTAGAGACCGAGTGCCCAAACTGCAACCCAAAACCCACTTATTTATCGCCGGGTGCCAGGTGAGCGTGGCCCACTGGGTGGGTGTGGCTGTGGTGGTCATAGCAGGCTGGGTGGGTGTAGCCAAGGTGGGCGTGATTACCTCGATGTTGCTCATGGGGAGGGACGCCTGTGGGGGCCAGGCAGGGCTGGGGGAGATCCAGGGGGTCTCTGGCAGATGGGGTGGTGGGCAGGAGGCTCATCCTGCGGGGTGAGGCGAGGCGAGGCAGGGCGGGGGTGCCATTGTCACAGGGAAAGGTGAGGTGGGGGCCAGGACAGCTGCTGCCTGACACCATCAGCCCCTGCACACAGAGGCCAGCGAGCGCATGGGTCCTGGGATCCATCCAGCCATGTGGGACCTCGGCGAGTTAGCGGGCAGCTGGTTGAAGAGGGATGATTGCCATCTCCGGGGCATGGCCCGCGTGCCCACAGAGAGGGCTCTGAGTGCCGCCTCTGGCACGTGTGCCATAGGTTCGCCACCACTGACGTAGGCTATTCTGACAGACGTTTCCAGTGCACGTGCAATTTTAGCTTTAATGCTGGGGAAAAAATATATCACCAACACAGATAAAAGTGCAGAGGAAGAAAGAGAAACTGAGTACCCAGGGCAGGCTCTGCCCATGAATGATCTTGGACGGTGGGGAAGACCCATCCAGCTGCTGTAAGAATAAGGTAAATAAAGTGAGAATTCCCTGGCTTAGCTCTTTTCCAACTATTCCTTCGGCCACGAACCAAAAATAGCTCCTATTTCTTATAAAACAGAATTTTTTTATTAGCAATCTTGGCAACTCAAGGAGACCTGCATGGATTCAGAAAGTCTCTGAGGAAAGGGGAGCAAAAGACAGACCCAGCCGGAACTGCCTAGCCGTGACAGTTCCACAACTCAAGCAAGCCACAGCATTTAACCGCCCCGTAAACCGAGAAGTCCTTTAAGCACACAGCCAAACTGCACGGGGAGGGAAGTCCATTAGACCTCAAAAAGGAAATACATCCCACACAAGGTGCATTGTGTTGTGCAAGTGAGGTGGACAAGGCTCCTTTTGGCTTTGGACATTTCGCTAGAAACTGCAAAAAGCTACGCCCCGTTACCAGGAACCTCAAATCTTTCCGGTAGACAAATTTGGCCTTTCCTAAAAGTCCCGCTAATCATGCAGTGTTTCTCAACCTTGGCAACTTTACGATGTGTGGACTTCAACTCCCAGAATTCTCCAGCTAGCAACGCTAGCTGGAGAATTCTGGGAGTTGAAGTCCACACATCGTAAAGTTGCCAAGGTTGAGAAACACTGCGCTAATGCGTTTAACTAGCAGTCTCTCCCACCCAATGCCAAAAAAAAGGAAAGGGTGTTTTTCAAAGGGTCTTATGGGGAACCAGTGTTTTTTTTTTATATATAGATCTTTATTAGGGATTACTCAACAAGATGGCAGCCGGTGAACAAAGACCCCTGAAAGCCCATTTGTCCAGTATACCTGCTATCTTTTCTGGAAAGGGAGGCTAACATTTACGAGGCAGGCCACGGCGAGGCCCAAGAGTCTGTGCGAATTGACCGCATGCCCTCCACGGTGGTTTTAACACACCCTCCTTGGACAGTAGTCCCTGGAGGTCACAAGGTGTCCTAGAAATAAAAAGCTAAAACTGTGGTAGAAGGAAGGGAAGACAGAGATCGCAGCTCGATTAAAACCACACTCTGCAGGGGCAAGCAAGCGGGCAAAAGCCGCGGAGGCAGCCCAACGTGAGTCCTGGGTAGCGTGTCCTTCTAAGCGGCTGCCCTCTCCATCCGTCCCCGGAGGGTCTTCTACTCACCCTGAGCCTGAAGCTTCAAGCAAGGTCCTGCAGTCAAAGCCTGGGAGGAGATGGCCGGACGAACGGAAGCTACGATCTGAGCTCCCTGTTGTCCGGCTTCATGCAGAAGGGCTCCAGCCGCTCGTTCTCCGGCAGCAGGCCGTTCAGCCTCTCCATCAGCGGGACGGTTAGGTCAATGCCCATCTGGACGCGGCGGAGGATGGCCGACATCTCGTTGACCTTCTGGATCTGCTCAGCGTACTTGGCGTACCTCTTCTGGCGCTCTTGCATCAACGCGTACAGTGCCTCTACGGAAAGATCCATCTGTAAAAAAAAACAACGAAATAGCCCTTAGCGCTCTAGACTTATATACCGCTTCGTAATACTTTACAGCTCTCTCTGAGCGGTTTTACAGAGTCAGCACATTGCCGCCCACCCACCCCCAACCATCTGGGTCCTCATTTGACCGAGCTCGGAAGGACGGAAGGCTGAGTCAACCTTGAGCCAGTCAAGATCGAACTGCTGGCGGTGGGCAGAGTCAGCCTGCGATGCTGCCTTCTAACCACTGCGCCACCAGGGCCAGACATGGGTTATTACGGTTCCCTTCCCGACAAGAAAAAGAATTTCTTTCTTCCTACAACTTGTGTGGTGACCCCTAACCCTGACAAAACGACTCCGGGAGGGGTTTTGAGAGACCCTATTGGCCATCACCATCAACAGATCCTCTCCCCGCAATTCCCTATATGGGGATGAGCACAAAGACTATCCAGAAATGACCCCCCCCCAGTCCTGAAAGCAAGCAGAGTTTGCCCGTGTGCCTAGCTGAGGAATTCTGGGAATTGAAGTCCACAAGTCATAAAAGGGCCAAGTTTGAAGACCCCTGCAATAAATGGTTGTTAACTTTCTTTTATCTATGTCAGGGGTGTCAAACTGCCGGCCCACAGGCTAGATGCGTCACGCCAAAACCGCACCACCATATTGCCGACAATGGGGAAAAAGTTGTGACACGTCACGTGACCGTTGTGAATTTGACACCCCTGATCTATGGGATCCCTAGAACAAAATGACTTGATAGCACATAACCCATCAGTTCATCAAAGCTTCCTTTCACTAGCAGGATTTTCTAGCTGTTGCTATAAAAATCACTGTTTTCTGAACCACTCTCCTGTTTCATCTTCCTCAGCCCACACTTCCAATTAGCAATCAATTCTAATTTTACCCATTTTTTCCCCTCCCACTCCCAGAAAGTCACAAAGGGTGGGTGTCCCCCCAGGTGCTGGGCAGGGAGAGCCTCTTAGAGCCTGGGGATTGTATGACGGGGGGGCGGTTGTGGGTCAGGGGTCTGGTTTTCTTGGCTTTATTATTTTTGCAAGCTACCTAGAGTTCTGTGCTACAAGATGGGCACTGATATAATTCTTAGAAGTAAATAAATAAATTTTTCCACCTTGGTTTCCCCCAGAATTTAGTTATTGCCATTAGTTCTCTAATCATGTATTTATTACTGATCAAATCTTTATTTTATGCAGGATCTCTCTAGTAGCATCCAGTAAATATGCTGAGGTTTTCTAGGTTTGGAGCCGCATCGAATCCGGTCTCTGAAAGTTCAACCCCCTTCCGAGAAGGTAAACCGCTGCTCTTATTCCAGCCCGACACGCCGCTTTTCATGACCTCTGGAAGAGCTGGGCTCTCCGGGAGGGGAAAAATAGGAAGCAATTTTCCAAGAGAAAATTGGATTATAGAGTATAGAGAGACGTTATATATTTTCTATACCCTAGTATTATAAGCCTATAATTTCCCAGCTCCTCTGCTTCCGATAATAACAGCATATTAGTCATCCTCAGAAATCCTAGATGCAGACACAGCTGGAAAGCTGGTGTATGTGTAGTGATCATTTATCATTAAA